CCCGGGACAGCCACCCTAGTACCCATTTTAGCCTGGGTCGACCTGCGGCGCCCCATACAGTGATAAAAATCCAGGCAGGGAGCAGTGGGTTGTAATCGCGGTACATTGGAATTACGAGTCGGACTCGCAACACCCAAGCCACGGACGCCATTAGAGCTGATACATGCCGCAATGATACTGGGCTCGCCCAAGAAATCAGTACGTCCTGCACATGACTGCTTATCCTCAAGTTTATATTTTCCCAATAACCCTTGACAGTGAGATTGTTATACTATGTTTGTAGATCCTTTAGATGCCCCGTCTTTATTGTCCCTGCCTCCCACTGTGGTGCTTTCCTTTGTTAGCATAACATGACACTGGAGCTTTGTGAAGGCTTACTTTAGAGGTGTAATGGTTGTGGTTTTTCGTGTTCGTCCTATTTCTTTTCATTGTGAAATTAATATTCTTGATTAAGGAATATTCCGCTGGAATATTTCTTTGTAAAACAGTATTAGCAAATAACGCATTCTATACACGCGTGGGATGTAGATTTCAGATACAGAGACTGGATTTCATGTTTATGGTTGGACATGACAGACCAGATAAACAAACGGGGAAGTTGAGTTGAGTTAAGAACAACCATCACAGCACTGAGGACATTCCAGTAAGTGCTCTGTCTCCATCTTTAGCAGTCTTAAAAGCGCCCTATCTCTATCTTTAGCAATCTAAAAAACGCTCCGTCACCATCTTTAGCAATCTAAAAAACGCTCCGTCATCATCTTTAGCAATCTAATAAGCGCTACTTCTTCATCTTTATCGAACTAATAAGCGCTCCGTCTCCATCTTTAGCAGTCTAATAAGCGGCCTATCTCTGTCTTTAGCAATCTAATAAACGCCCTGTCATCATCTTTAGCCATATGAAAAGCACTCAATCTTCATTTTTAGCAATCTAATAAGCGCTTATCAAATTTACTTTTTTTTTCACAAATACAATTTTCTTTTAATGAGGCATTAAAGATATTAATTTTAATATAATGTCTAAGATTCTGCACACACATTCTTTAGGCGTATATACTGTAAGGCACACCAAGTCAGATGATACTGGATGGGCTGAAACGATGGCATGAAGAGATATCATCAAGAAAGCTGTTCCAGGCAACCAGGGATCGCCATCTGTGGAGACGCATGAGCGCCTACGCCAGTTGGCAGGGCACGTGATGATGATTATATATTGTAAAGTTTTCTGAGTTAGCTACAATAAGTTAAAAAAGGGTCTCATGGCTTTATATAGCTTGAGGCCTTATCAGGTCTAAACCTGCCCTGAAGAGCACCATATGTCTGATACGTAAGTAGCGGGAAATGTGTTCTTCATATATACAGACAGTTACTCTTTTTCGGGTTCCTTAACAAGAAATTTTCTTTCCCCTTAAAATGCGCTAATACTTTTTTATGTGTATGTCTCCATGCTGGTTTGCCTTTACGATTTTTTTCATTTAAGGCTCGTTTAACCCCCAGCGTAGTTGATTAAACCTGACTTTGCGGCGATAGGATGCCGAACTCCTTGTGGTCCGGGTTCACGCCGAGGGGTTGGCAGAAAAGCCACATTTCTCCCAGATTTACGGTACCTGTCATGGACTCAAGGCCGAAGGGTTGCGATATCTATAATACTGAGCCAAAAAGCCCAGGAAAACACGCCTCTATGACTGTATGCGCCGGATGAGTCACCTATTGTTTACCACACCACACAGATTATACTCCGCAACAGTCTGGACCATAGATTGTGGACCAGGGTTAACGACAGTACGCTGCCTGGCAGTATAGTCTTCATTATCAGTTGCTGCTGCCTAGACACAGATCGCGGCAGTTGTTATCTCCTTTATATCCCTTCCATGCCTTCCGCTGCAGCTGTCAGGGCTGCAGTAAATATTGTCCAATATTGTCTCGTGAACTAGAGCTATTACTGTTGCTGGCAGTGATACGATTTCATGCTTTTTTTTTTGGCATATAGGGCTAGACCTATATTTTAAAGACCAATCGGTATTCGGTGGGTGATGTGGTCAACATCATGTCGGCTGCCTTTACTTCCTATGACTTACCTGCTAATCATTTAAGGCTGGGAGGCAAGGTCATTTTGAAAAGGAAAAAAAAATTCGGCTCCGCCAGAACCTGAATCCACGACACTTCGATCCACAGGCGAACGTAGAGCCACCTCACCACGACAGCAGCCATGGTAAATTAGTGTTACTAGCTATCCAGTCGTGATGTCCAAATCATCATCATCACGAAGCAAGCCGTGCACAGAAAAATCCATTGCCTCTGGCACCTTCCTGATCATTTTGGTGCCCATTGGTGCTGATGGTCTCCTGTTTTCTATTCTGTCTAAACTAATCTGACGATTGGAATTAGTTTATTAGTTATTCAGTCGACGTTTCAAAATCACCGTAATCGGGTTTCCCTCATACTTGCTCCGATCCTTAACCAGTGCCAATCAAAAAAATTTCCCTCACTGTTGCATATGAAAAACTTGTAAATAAACAACTAGTTCTGGAACAATCCAGAAGTAGGTGCACGCAGTGAATGCGTATTACAGTTGCAAGAGGCGCCAAAGCCAACAGTCGCCACCAGAAATGCAATGTGTCGTTGGTGGAAGTAGTCGGGCACGATAAGTTGGTTACTACACGCACTTAGAATTCTTATATAGGGTATTTCACCAGCTCACACGTAAACCGGCCACCGGCCATATTGAACAAAACGAAACAGCTGCACAAATGAAAGGCATTCCACAAGAAAAACACAGCTCACAGGGCTGCAATCAAGCACTAAATTCTGTAGCTCAGACAGCGAAACCGTAGACTACCGTCCATATGTGCAAACTACATTAGCAAAGCGCTGTCGGAAGCAAAAAGAAAACAAACTTCGAAGCTTGCCATTCTGCAAAGCCTTTCCTCCGTTTTTATCAGAAGTTTGATATGGCAAAAGAAATAATTTCGGAGACTAGATTATGTTTATCACCCAGTTCCATTCGATGTTCAGATTGTCTGTGGTGTCCAAATACATGTTAAGAAAATGTATCCCGTACCATAGTGATATGCAAATTGGAAAATTGACATGCCAACGATGTTAGATAGCTCTCACTCGATAAGATTATCACATAAATAAACAGAGTGTGAACCCTTAAGGCCGCTAAATATTATATAATAATAAAGTAACAAACAATGTATTGATCGGCTTTCATAGAAAGAAGAAGAAAGATAGAAGAACACACTGTGAGAATTCTTCTTCTTCTTCTTCTTCTTCTTCTTCTTCCTCTTCTTCTTCTTCTTCTTCTTCTTCTTCTTCTTCTTCTTCTTCTTCTTCTTCTTCTTCTTCTTCTTCTTCTTCTTCTTCTTCTTCTTCTTCTTCTTCTTCTTCTTCTTCTTCTTCATCTTCTTCTTCTTCTTCTTCTTCTTCTTCTTCTTCTTCTTCTTCTTCTTCTTCTTCTTCTTCTTCTTCTTCTTCTTCTTCTTCTTCTCCTTCTTTTTCCCCGTTCACCGGCTGTAAATTCTGATGGAAAGTTCTGATTGTTCGTCCACTTCTAGACCGCAGTCTTGTTCAAGAACCTGAGTGTTGCGTGTGCATCTGTTTGACAAATCTGACTAATTTGCTTGCAGACTGTTGGTTGCTTGCATCTCAGGCAGATGCACTCCGACTTCGAAGGAAGCTTCCAATTAGTCGACTCTTACGACATGCTTTTGTTTAGTCCGTGGGTCTATTCTTGTTTTCCCTATAATAGGGACCGAAACCCACACGTGGATGTGAGAATATTGTATATTGTGATAGTTTACGCTGGCTGCTCTGTGAGTCTGGTGTCGTCTTCTCAGTGTAGGGATCTCTAATACCGTCAGCCTCTTGCCCAGAATGTGGACCTCTAGTAACTTCCTCTGGTCTCTAGGTAGTAACATGGGACGACCGTGTGTATTCTTGAGCACCTAAAAAATTCTAGTTGGTAATCGAAAACAAGTAGCCTATTGGCGCTGCTTGGGCAAAATTTGGAGTTAAAAATCTACCCAAAGGATTTCAGGATCCTCGCCGGTGCAACGGAGTTCGTGCACTGCGCTGAGAAGCTTCAGACTCCGACTTGAGTTAGAAGTAGAACTGAGCCCTTATGGGTTATCACCCCTGTGCTAAAATGTTGATCCGTCGAATAAACATAAACATTGTACACTGTCAAACAATTGTCTCTCTGCAACTTCATGTCCTTCTCTCAACTTGTGTCGCTTTTTATCACATGCTCACCTGTCTTCCACTTGTTGTATACCCATTCACACGTAGACCCTTTTCCCCACTCTTTGTATACCTTTCCCATGCAAGCCAATTTTCCACTTTTTGTATACTTTCCCTATGCAGGCATATTTCCCACTGTTTATATCCCTTTTATGCAGGCCTATCTTCCACTCTTTGTATATCTTTCGCCTACAGTTTTCAACTCTTCCTTTTTCGCCATTTCACAATCCCAACCATAATCTAGCCGCCAAGATGTTGTATCCGGCTTAGCTTGTTATCTTGCTTTAAATTTTCCATCCCAGTACTTAATTTCTAACGACCAAAAGCTTTAAATTGGGCATACTTGCTTAATCCGTTTGTCATACATTCTCTCAGTGATTGTATCTATCGTACATTTATTCATTGTTTAATTTTAAATGACTCATGTTTTGATATTCATATCTAAACTATTTGAGTTGCGATAATTCTATGTGTTTTACATATCGCTATTTGATTGCCTTACTTAATCATTCATTATATTGGTATACTGACTAGTTTTTATTGCTGTTCTCAGCTTTGACCGGCTGTCACATTCGGATGCGGGCTGGGAGAATGATTGAAACATGAACTTCGCAATCAGGTGCCAGTTGAATGTTCTCATTGTTCCGTGTTGGATCTTTGAATGGTCAGTTTTAGAAGACCGTGTTTGCTAAACACTTTAGCATTCACTAACCAGTGAACGATCTGTTAACAGTGCGCACTTGGATTTGCACGACAGTATGGCAATACCTGCACTAAACATGATAATGCTACCGTCAAATCGCCGTCAATGTTCACGAAGCCATGTTCGCCATCAGACCAGTTCCGGTCAGTATGGCTTCTGCAGGACGATGGTCAGCAGTTTTGTCAGCTGGACAGCTTCGATGACTCTTCTGATTTCTTCTGTGGTGTTGACCCAGTATTCGCGCTCCGGTAGCGGCGTGGCGGCGCTGTCCTGTGCGGCCTGTGACCCAACTCTGTGTCCGGACACGTCGGACTGTACCGGTGGGTTGGTTCTGGACATCTGTCGCTGCTGCCAGGTGTGCGCCCGGACGGAGAATCAGAGGTGTGGCGGCATGTTTGGGATTCTGGGCAAGTGCGATGGCCACCTTCACTGCTTCATCAGTCCGGTCGATGGACGGCCGATCACGGGCGACGAGGAAGGAATTTGTAAAGGTTAGTGTTTGAATGACGAGATTGGTTGGACCCCCCATCTCTCTCTCTCTCTCTCTCTCTCTCTCTCTCTCTCTCTCTCTCTCTCTCTCTCTCTCTCTCTCTCTCTCTCTCTCTCTCTCTCTCTCACACTCACTGACTTTTTTCCTCTATGTTTTTCTATGTATGTCTTTCTCTTTCTCGCTTTCTCTCCATCCTCTTGCTTTCTTTCGGTCTCCCTTTCTTTCTGTGTCTTTCTCTGACACCCTTCATGTTTTTCTCTCACCCCCCCCCCCTAATTTTTTTAATATGTGACATGGCAGGTCTCTCTTTGCATAGTGGCTTGTCGCCAGCAAGATCGTTGCACAGAGGCCGAATCCTGTAGCTCTAGCAAAAATCCCCCGTAAATCTCCAAAACACTTGCACCCCCCTACCGAAAGACGAAGTCCAAATCCAAACCCACAACCTTTAGAGCACTAGAGGGGCGATTACATGACTGTACAACTAATCTCGCTTTCTCCTTCATCCTCATTCTCCTCCTCCTCCTCCTCTCTCTCTCTCTCTCTCTCTCTCTCTCTCTCTCAGTCCCCCTCCTCTCTCTTTTTTTTTGAGCGTATATATATATATATATATATATATATATATATATATATATATATATATATATGTATGTATGTATATATATATATATATATATATATATATATATATATATATATATATATATATACTAGCTGTACCCGGCCACGCGTTGCTGTGGCATATTTTGGCTAAATGGAAATGAAAGAAAATAGAAATCGCACGTGTCTAATACAATCATTGTCTGCTCAGATATAGAGATAGTTTTTGATCCCCCCCCCCCAACTAAATCCACCTACTACCCTCCCCCTTATCAAATTTATGTCATTACCCCCCCCCCCCTCCCCTCTTCCACCGACTACTGCTTTCTCCCTCTTCGAAATATTTGAAAATTATTACCAGGCGATATTTTGTTGTTACTGTAACTGACATTGACATCCCTGTCCATCTGGACTAAAATAGGGAGCAGGAATTGTAAAAGGTAGTGAATAGGGCTAGTGTAATATTTACCACATCATCCTTCAAGTACCAGTACAACTACTAAAATAATGTCACTGCTATCTGTGTTACCATCGGAGTAGACAGAGAGTCGTGAGCCAGAAGATTTGGTTCCGCATGGCTAGTGCTGTCGCCACAGACTGGTCAGGTTAGGATGTATAATTTCACTTGCCGACAGAAGAACGCCATAACCTTACCGGCGGTCTTCACATGAGAGCACTATGGTGTAACAGCCCAACCACAACTATTACTACTGCTGCTACTTTAAGTGGGTAATGCAGTTACTGTGACTTAAAGCTCTCTCAGTTATTAGTTTGCCCCCCCCCCTCCCCCACCCCCTCCCCCCCAAATTCACCGACAACTCTTTCCCTCATTGAAGTAGTTAGGAGAAAAAAAACAACACTTGAAAAGCAAACGAACACAGGAAAAAAAACACCATAATTAGGAAATGAACGCCATTGTAAACAGCACAGCTTAAAATTCCAACACAGATGAAATAACTAAATCTAAATGAAAATAAATGAAAATCTATAAAATTTCATGGTAACCATGCAATCGGAAAGTTTAACAATGCAATCATAAGCATGAGAAATGGTCAAATTTAATTATCAAATCGTTTACCCATTTGCTTGTTTTTTTTTTTTTTTTAATATTAAGGCAACATGGCTAGTGCTGTCACCACGGCAGAGCAGATGAGGATACTATTTTAGTCCGGGGCAAAAAAAGAATTTAACGACTGCGGATTCGAACCCAGGTCTACCGCACATGAACCCAGTGTTCTAACCATTCGACCAAGCAGCCACTTAATTGAAACAACGAAAAGAGAACTCAACTATTAGACATATGAGTCCATACTACTGTGTCGCGATTAAAACACAATTCAAAACCGCAGGCAACTGTTTTCTCGTAGACAGATACTCCAGATATATTAATGAAATAGAAATCGCACGTGTCTAACACGGTTAATGAAGTTAATGTCGCAGTCACTGTCTCCCCCGACGTCGAGATAGTCCTCGATTGCCCCCCCCCCCCCCCTCCCCATCGAAGGTTGTTTGAAAAAAAACCAGAAAATAGAAATCGTGTTTAATATGGTTATTGTGGCAAATATAGAGATAGTCTTGTTTGCTGTACCACGACCTACTCTATGTATTAGTATTAGAGAAGGCGTTGGCTGCACGTAACTCGCCGGCCAATGGTAAATACGGCGCATGCGCAATTACTAACGTGGCTATAATTAGAAATCACTAAAGTTGTAAATATTAGTTGCGTATATTTTAGCATTAATTGTGGTCACCTATCTCTAAGAGTGACAGGTTGAATTTCAAACCACGACGGTTCAAAATCCGGTATCACAACAAACATATCCTGAAAATTTCAGCTAAATCGGTTCTATAGTTTCCGAGTCTATAGGGGTGAAACAAACACACAAACATTGATTTATATATATATATATATATATATATATATATATATATATATATATATATATATATATATAATCTTTACGCTATTTAAATCATGTAACTGGCTTTGCTGGTGGCGACCCCTGTAGGTGGATCGAAAGCTCTCCAACTAACATTTTCCCAGTCTTCTTAAAATGTGTTTCTCTGTAATTACACTTCAAAAGGTAAATACACAGTGACCCAAATAGCCACTATTCTAATTAAGAAGGCATTCCTTATAAAATGGCAATTGCATCCTAGTCTGCATGGAACAGTATGCAGAAGAAAAAAATATTATTTAAGGACAGAATGTCTTTTTGCAATAACGTAAGTACTTATCGTGACTAATTAGCAGTTTGCCCATGCTCAACAGAGCGTATAAGAAGCCCCGCACTGTTAGCATGCACTGTGGAAGAGCAGCGATTTCTTATTGTGTGTGTGTGCGTGCGTGTGTGTGTGTGTGTGTGGGGGGGGGAGCAGAGGGTTAAACCAATTAAAATTAATCGAATAGTAAAGGTTCAAAACAGAGACATTTGTTTCTGTCAGAGGAAAGTGTATGAATGGGTGGAAAGAGTTAAAAACGGAAAGGATAGCGTCAGTTATGAAAAGCGGAGTGTGAGACCTGTTAGCGTGGCAATTGGGACAGTGAAACAGCAGATAGAATAGTGAATCCACGATAACAAACGATCGGCACTTTTGATCAAATTGCTGTAGATTTTCACATGAGTCAGGGAGCTGTATACACAAATGTGACCACTGTGGGTATAGGAAATTAATCAAGTAACAAAAAGTGTATTGATCAGCACTCATAAAAAGACGTGTAGCTGATGGCTTCCAAGGCAGCTGTCGGATGAACAGAAGCGCACTAGGCAGACGGTTTAGCGCGAGCATTTGGACTGTCGTGCCCGAGAAGGAGATGTTTTTTTCTCTATCTAATTGTGACAGGTGATTAGTCCTGGGTGTAATATTATGAACCAGAGAGTACGAGACAATCGCTGCTGAGGAAGCACCAGGCATCACCACCATCGAGAAATATCCAGATAGGCTTCAGCTGGGAAGGTCATGCTGTCTTTTGGGATGTCAGTGGCCCTTCATTTGGGATGTCAGTGGCCCTTCATTTGGGATGTCAGTGGCCCTTCATTTGGGATGTCAGTGGCCCTTCATTTGGGATGTCAGTGGCCCTTCATTTGGGATGTCAGTGGCCCTTCATTTGGGATGTCAGTGGCCCTTCATTTGGGATGTCAGTGGCCCTTCATTTGGGATGTCAGTGGCCCTTCATTTGGGATGTCAGTGGCCCTTCATTTGGGATGTCAGTGGCCCTTCATTTGGGATGTCAGTGGCCCTTCATTTGGGATGTCAGTGGCCCTTCATTTGGGATTTCAGTGGCCCTTCATTTGGGATGTCAGTGGCCTTATAGTGACGCATTTCCCTGAAATGGCTTAATGCTTGTTACAGAGAAAACAAGTTGAAGCTCGCGATCCGATCTAAAGGCCGGGGTCATCTCTCGAAAGGAGTTTTGTTGCTGCCTGACAACGTCGGCCCCACATGCTCCACATACAGTGGATACACTACCGGCTCTGTACAGTGAAAACACTACCGACTCTGTACAGTGCATACACTACCGGCTCTGTACAGTGGATACACTACCGACTCTGTACAGTGCATACACTACCGGCTCTGTACAGTGGATACACTACCGGCTCTGTACAGTGCATACACTACCGGCTCTGTACAGTGGATACACTACCGGCACTGTACAGTGGATACACTACCGACTCTGTACAGTGGATACACTACCGACTCTGTACAGTGGATACAAGTACAGAGGATACACTACCGACTCTGTAAGTGGATACACAACAGACTGTACAGTGGATACAAGTACAGTGAATACACTACCGACTCTGTACAGTGGATTCACAACATACTCTGTACAGTGGATACACTACCGACTCTGTAGAGTGGATTCGCTACCGACTCAGTTTGAAGGATTGAAGCATCCAGTATACACCCCCGACTTGGCACCATCGAAAATAATTTGTTGTTGTTGTTGTTGTTGTTGTTGTTGTTGTTGTTGTTGTTGTTGTTGTTGTTGTTGTTGTTGTTGTTGCGGGGGCATTGAAAGAGCATTTTCGGAGTCAGAAATTTGCAGGTGACAGCGAGGTGATGTCGGTTTTGCGAACTTGGTTACTGGCCTCACTTAGTAGCTTCTACCTGGAGGGCACCCACAGTCTTGTGGATCAGTGGACTACATCTGTTGGAAGTATTGCCTTTACTTAATGTCTTTCCGTCGTATAATACAACATATACCAGAAATACCCTTCTACTAACAACACAGTTAAATTAAAAAGATCGCCCAGCTGTTAACAAAGTAACTTTTAGTTCATCGTGGGTGTGGTGAAGTCCTTCGACTGTTGGGCGTAATCAGAGACCACAGGGAAGCTACGTGGTCTCGAGGCATGGTGCCCGCCTCGAGTGCTAGAGGTTCTGGGTCCAATCCTCGGT